TTAGTAAAAGTACACTTGATTTCAACAAATGGAGTCTGGTGGTTTCCTTTCCTGATTTGTGAATGAAGAAGGGCTGACAGGATGAAAGAGTGGATTGTACTGAGGAATATAAGATTATTGACTTTGGAAGGACATGATTTGCAATTGGGCTGGCATGCATTCTTATGGTATGGGAAAAAATAAGATACATGGATATTTTCAGAGACATTATATAAGGAATGAATTATTATTGGTGTGGGAGAAAATTAAAGAACAACATTATTTGAGGATACTAGTTTGGATTTCAACAATGGAAGCACTGATCCACCCAAATGTTATTAATATGAGAAACATTGTCAGATATAAAGATATGTTGAATGAAGAAAGGGGACTTAAAATGAAAGAAGAAATGACTGTGCAAGAAATCAATATAATGTGGTATTCTCATGTGCAGATACAGTTTAGATATGAGAAAGATATTAAATTACAGGGTTTTTACAAAGAATTAACAGTTAGATAAAATTCTAACAGGAACAGAAGAAAGATTAATAAAGAAACTGTATAATTACTTATTGGGCATAAAATTGGAAGAGGAACAAGTAAAAGAGACAATGATAGCATGGGTGAAAATTTTTGGCTATTTGATAGAATTGGATAAATGTCAGAAATTGTTGGATAGGAATTACAAATTAGCAATGTCAACTTCTTATAAAGAGAATTTGTATAAGATGTTTTATAGATGGTATCTACCACCGGTGAGGTTGACATAGATGTGATAACTCAGCTAAATGTTGGAAGTGCCACCAAATATCTGGATATTATTATCATATGTGGTGGACATGTGGAGAGGCAAAGAAATATTGGACAAAAATTAAGACAAGGTTGGAAGAGATGATACAACAATGTATTGAGCTGAAGCCAAAAACATTTCTGCTAGGAATTTTGCCTGAAATTTATAATAAAGGGAATGTATACTTATTCACTCATGTATTAACTGCAGCTAGAATTGTATTTGCACAACACTATAAAAGTGTAGAGATTCCTATTGATGAGAAGGTGATAAGGAAAATATTTGAATGTGCAGAAATGAACAGATTAACATTAGCAATTAAGGAGAAAGAGAGCAAACTGAATATTATATGATTTGGGAAGTATTTTACCAATGGTTTGAGAAAAAAAAGTTTGGAAATGAAGAAAGCTAAAAATAAGTAGATAATATACTTAGAGATATAAATCAGATGAAAACTTAGTATGTGTATGATGAGAATAATGATCTTTAATGTTGATGTGATATTATTACTAGAAGATATTAAGAAGAAAAATGGAGAGTTTTTTAACGTTTAAAAGCTCAATATATTACTAAATATATTTCCCTACTAAACTTAGGGAAATAATGTTACTGTGAATGTGAAAGATGTGGCAAAAGAGGAACAATGTCGCACAGAGATGTTTGTACCCAGATGACACACTGCATAAGGAAAGGTGGAATGTTTATTTTTGTAATTGAAAAATAATGCAATTCTTATCTTTTTTTATCCCAGTGCAGTCATGGCTAAGGTGACCAGACGTCCCGCATCTGGCGGGACAGGCACACCTTTTCATAATTTTTCCCGCGTCCTGGGCCGTTCTCAAAAAACCCCGCTTTATTTTGGCGCTCGCTGGCTCCCCCCCATCAGCTGCCGCTAGCTCACTTGTTCCGTTCCCCCATCTATTCTATTCTACACTAAAAATCTAAGCCAGCCCACCCTGCCGCTCACTGATTGGCCTGGACTCCAGCCAATCAGTGAGCTGGCTGGGATGCCGCATGCTTAAAGTTTTCCATCCCAGACAGCTCACTGATTGGCTGGAGTCCAGGCCAATCAGTGAGCGGCAGGGTGGGCTGGCTTTGATTTTTAGTGTAGAATAGAATAGATGGGGGAATGGAACAAGTGAGCTAGCGGCAGCTGATGGGCAGGGGAGCCAGCGAGCGCCAAAATAAAGCGGGGTTTTTTGAGAACGGCCCGGGA